TTATAAAGATCACCTGATTTCTTTTTTTTTCTTTAAGTTCATTATTGAGATTATAAGAGAATACGTCGGGTGTTGTTATATGGCGCAGAAACATGGCCAATGACAACCAAACTGGAACAACAACTTTACCGAACCGATATGAAAATGCTCCGATGGATGCAACGAATTAGTCTGAAGGACCACATCAAATCTACCGAAATCCTGCGTTGTGCTGGTTTAGATGATATAAAGGACGAATGCCGGCAACACCGTCTGCGGTGGTTTGGTCATGTCAAACGAAGTGGAAACAGTGCCATAATTTCTCTTGTAGATGTTGAAGTACCTGGCATACGTCCCAAAGGCCGTCCAAACAATGGTCGCAGACAATCGAGCAAGACATGAAAGCTCTAATTTTAAATAAAATGGATCGCCTAATTTGGCGCCAAAAATTGATAGCAAAAAAAACTGGGTCTTTGGACGGTAAACGAAGATTGATTGTTAACTATATATAGGTTACATAGAAAATAAACTGTAGTGTTTTTTGCGACAAAATAATATAGCATATATTTAATAAATGTAACTTTTGAAATTATTTTTGCAACTAAAAATATACAAAACAATTATTGTATATAAAAAAATACCAACCTTACCAAAAAATTGATTCAACTAGCGATTGAATAAATCTTTGTTGAAATTAGTTTAGTCGGTAGTCAAAGCAGAAGTTAAGTTATCTACTGAACTGTATTACGCTTTTTAGAAAATAAACTGTAGTGTTTTTTGCGACAAAATATTCTAGCATATATTTAATTAATATAACTTTTGAAATTATTTTTAGGATAACTAAATTATACAAAACAATTATTATATATAAAAAAAACACCAACCTTACCAAAAAATTGATTCAACTAGCGATTGAATAAATATTTGTTGAAATTAGTTTAGTCGGTAGTCAAAGCAGAAACCGAGTTATCTACTGAACTGTATTACGCTTTTAAATAGAATAAATTTATTATATATTTACATTTTTCTACATACAATGAAAAGCATTGAACAAACAAGCGTTTGGAGTTTTATCAACTTCTTTTACACATTAACAAATTGTTTAAATCCACAACCTGAATCTTCGACGACATGAATAAAATAACGCACATTGACACTTTTTAAAATTGTTATTGTGTCCGCATTCATATCAGCAAAATGTAATCAGTTTTTTCTTATAAATACAAATTGACTAGCAATATAAACACTAAAAATAAACACTTAACACAATAAAAGCGGCCAGTAATAAAGAATGGTATCTAAATAATCCGATCAACGTTGGAGTACACTTTTGACACCACCCAATCGGCTATACATGCCAAAGTATTTTTTCAATGTTTCAACCAAATTTGACAAGAAGTTGTACCTTGAAAATGTAAACACTTTCCATAAAAATTTCATGTTTCATACAAACTGAAAGTAAAATCTTAGATCGGTACTGGGTAATCCAAAAAAATAATAAACAAAGAGTTAAAAATAAATCTAGGTAAATTTGGGCTCATTTAGCTCCTTCTCTTTTTTTTATAACCTGTTCTTGCCTTGTTGTAATAAAATAAATAAATGATGTTTACAAATTTTTAATTTTTCTTGTTTTGTAAAATTTTAAATAATATTTAAAGCACAGTTTCTAATTGTTCGTCTTTTTTAAAAATGTTATTTATTTGTAAACAAAAAATTTATTTTATTTGTTTTTCACTTTAAAAAAATTTATACTTTATGAGTTCAAGCCAAAACTCTTTTTTATTAGTTCATAAATTTATTGACTATAATAATTAAGTTGATTGATTATTAGATTGGTGGTTCGCCAGTCGCCGAGCAAATCAGTGCTAGTTGACTTTTCGATACTTGTTCCACGGTGAACTCTACGTTGACCAGACCTCTAGCGATCACGTTAGTGTCCGAATATGATGGCATAATGAGGTAGGGAAAGTACTTGTTATCTTGTACAATTTTAACGTTGTTCTTCAATAGGACTTCATCAACATTTTCAGTAATAGGTTTTTCTGAATTTTTTGTTTATTTCGACACGTAAGTTTCTGAATTTATAGTAATCTCTGCCGTTGATAAATAAGTTTTCGATTTGTTCGAAATTTATGTACCTGAGCTTTTTTAGTTCAATGTCTTGCAGCTGCTGGACGAGACTTGCAGATGTATAGATGTAAGTTAAATTAGAAATATTCGTGTTGTTTAAGAAGGCAGTGTTTTTAAACTTCTTGCCCACCAGTTCAACGTGTTTCAGGGCTGCCAAATTCTATTGACAATTCAATAAAATTGTTTGTTATCTTATTGTTTTAAATAAATAAATAAAAATAGATAAATATATTTATATTCTATTGTATTGCATGACTTGTGTAGCGCCCCTCTTGAAAGAACCTTAGAAGCACTAGCTTCGCTGTGGATGATTTTTTAAACGCTTCTTGAAAACCTGCCGGGTTATGTTGTTAATTCATTCTAGTTGTACGGTAGATCATTCCAAATTTGTGCTGAAAATACTTAGAATCTTCTTTTACTGAAGCGCCAAGAATTGAATTTTGGAAGCACAAGATCTCCACTAACGGAGAATCATAGTCTATTTCGGTTCGCAACTTCAGATAATATTAAAAGTCAGAGTTTCTCTCAAATAACTTGGAACATCGCCGGCCAGTGAATCTCTGACAAGGACAGCTAATTTGAACAAGTCTCTCTGGTATACAAAGCCAGAAATATATATATATATATATATATATATATATATATATATATATATATATATATATATTGAGACGAGGTTTTTGGCTATGCAAATTTATATATATTGAAACGAGGTTTTTGGCTATGCACATTTCATTGAATATTTTTGCCCACTTAGAATTAATTAACTTTTTGAAAATACACTCAACAATATGAAATTGTTGTAAATCGTATTTGTTTAGAACAAGTGACATAATTTGGCTGATAACGTGGTTTCGGTGTGAACACCATCTTTAGAGCCTTGAGTGAAATACAAATATTACTATAAATGGAAATGTAATATATTTTGGGATAAGGTTATATAAATATATTTATTTATATTACACAAACATAAGACAATAAACTTATTGTTAGTTCTTATATTATTACAAAATTTAGTGTCATAAATGCAAAGACGAACTATTAACTGATAAAAGAACGACTTAAAAGAACGTCTCAAAAATTAAACAATGAAATACTAAATTTAATACTTAAGAAAAAATTATGCTTAAACTGCAACATATTTTTTTCATAATGTTCATCTGGTTCACTGCAAATTGTCAACTTTTTGAGATTTTTATTATTTGGTTCCAGAAATTCAGGAGTATTCCAGAAGTGGTGTCGAACCTGGATAGTATTAATCACTTCCAACTGAAAATTTTTGCACTGTTGAACAAATCGATTGGCACTTTAGTAATGATGCAGTTCCTAAAAGATACTGTAGAAAATGTATCATTAGCGAAAAGATCGGGCCAATGCTATCGGCATGAATGTCAACGACAAGTAAAATTATCGGCTCCGTAGTTCTCTGTCTTCACGAACCTCTGACACTGATGTTCAATTTCCCAGTTTCGCAGTTGTGAATCCAGCCGGTAGGTATAATCCTTGTCACTACTTTCTTCCAAACAAGAACCACCCTTCGTTCTTTAGTTCGTTGTGAATGGGCTCACAGAAATAAGGGTTAGTAGTTGAAGTATCGGCAGACGCACTCTATTGTTTGCTTAGATCAGTTGCTTCCCCACTGATGATGCAAGTTAAAATTATTTCAATTATTCGATCTTTCGTCAGAATGAGAAACAAAATATAAAGAAAAAATAGCAAGAGAAATATTGAAATAGGAATAAAGGAAAAAATGTAAGGGTTGATAACATTTACAATTTGTGTTTGAAGGTGAATAATAATTTGCACCAGAAATACAAATGAGTATTGCAATTTAAAACACTCTTCGTGAATTTATAAAAATTCAAAATAGTTTTTTGGCTAGTTGCATCAATCTAACCTGGTGTTGTGCTGGGCCTGTGTGTGTTGTTATTATTGTGGCGATCAAAGAACCAACCAACCGATCAACCGACCGACCGATCAATCACCCAACCAACCAACAAACTGACTGACCAACCGACCCACCAACGACTAACCGACCAACCAATTAACTCACCGACCAACCATTCAACCAACCGACCAACCAACCAACCAGAATATTATGGAAACTGATATCACATTCGAGTTGCGTGATTGAAGACAGCTTGCTGGTCAGTTTGATGATTGGCACCTTGGCGGTGAGGATGGTCTGAATGTTTTCGCACCAACCGACCAACGAAAGTTTCGCCGCTATCGACTTTATAATAATTTGCACCAGAAATACAAATGAGTATTGCAATTTAAAACACTCTTCGTGAATTTATAAAAATTCAAAATAGTTTTTTGGCTAGTTGCATCAATCTAGAGGACAAAAACTTTGAAACACGTAAATGAGTGAATTTATGAACGGAAAAATCAATCAATCAATCTTCATTTAGCGTCCAGAGACCCAGTTCTCCGAGGTAAGACGTTGTTTTCTTTTGGGCCAAATTAGGCGATCAGTTGTATCCATTTCGTTTAAATTTCGAGCTTTCATGTCTTGCTCGATTGTTTGCGACCAGGACTTCTTTGGACGGCCTTTGGGACGTGTGCCAGGTACTTCAACATCTGCAAGAGTAGTTATGGCACTGTTTCCACTTCGTTTGACATGACCAAACCATCGCAGACGGTGTTGCCGGCATTCGTCCTTTATATCATCTAAACCAGCATGACGCAGGATTTCGGTAGATTTGATGTAGTCCTTCAGACTAAATCGTTGCATCCATCGGAGCATTTTCATGTCGGTTCGGTAAAGTTGTTGTTCCAGTTTGGTTGTCATTGGCCATGTTTCTGCAACATATAAAAACACCGGACGTATCACAGACTAATAAGTCTTGATCGTAGTGGTAATGGGATGTCACGCCGCATCAATATAGAGGCAAGGAAATGCCATTTATTCCAGGCTGCACGTATGCGTGCTCGAACGGCGGCTTCAGCTGTTCCAGTACAATCCAGAACATCCCCTAGATATTGGAACGATGTGACTATCTCTACCTTAATGGCTTCAAAAAACATTGCTATTTCGAATTTGCTGTTGTGGATTGATGCAAGCAGGACGAACAAAATTCCACACTTTAGATAAAGTACCAATTATTTTATTTTTCTATTATTAAAAACGAAAAAATAAATAAATTAATAAATAAATAAATAAACTTTATATATATATATATATATTCTGTAAGTCGACTTGAATCTACAGGTACATGAGTTTATAAAGGGTAAGAATTTCCGATTGCTCTCGCAAGTACGGTCTCCACCTTTGGCCGTGATGAGAGATGGTGTACTTTATGCACTCACCATATATATATATATATATATATATATATATATATATATATATATATATATATATGTGAAAGGAATAAATGAGCAAATATAAAAGAAACAGAAATTAGCGAAGTGTTTGTGTGTAGATGGAAAGATTAGCGGAAGACTGAAAAGAATAAATGAAGAAAGAGAAACAGGAAAAAAGAGGACCAGAAATCAGCTAAAGAGAGAGAGGGATGGAGAGCCAGTTAGAGAAAAAAAGAAAAATTGAGAGAGGAGATAATTTACATTTTGTTCAAAACAAAATTTGTGATTAATTAAATTTCAATTTATATCAAATGAAAAACATTCATTAAACTATATTATCAAACTATGGTTGACTAAGCGCTGCGTGTGTACGTGATGATGATTTTGATCAAACGCGATATTTCCGACCTTGCTAACAGTTAATATCTGATCGACGGTAGCCAAAATGCGCGAATGATTGAAGTGTTTTTTGGCCAGTTGCATCAATCTAGAGAACGCAGTACTAATAAGGATTTTTTTCGATTTGGTAATAAACCAGTGCAAAATATAAACAAGAAAAGCACCCTCTTATGTTGTATACAAATTTTTCTAAATAAGCCATAGCGAGGAAGAAAAATGGTTAGATCGCGACATGAATTTTTTCCCACAATAATTTTACTGGAGCAAAGAGTGGGAGTCAACCTCGTATTTTGCCATGTTTGAAACTAAATAAATTTGCTATTGGATCAAAAAACATTTAGATAGATTCCATAGAACATTAAACCTCAACATCAGTCTTCACAAACTGGAGCCAACATTCCAGATAACATAACAGGTGTGGGCACAAACCATGACTCTTATGAAAACCACATCTAGAATGTTAAGCCGGGTATTTTTTTTTTAATTTCATTTGACAAAATGTTTTGTAAATTTTATAAATTAAAATATTGTTATTAAATTATTATATGATGATAAGGTTTGAAAAAAAACTTTTACTGAACTGTTAATCACAAGGAGCTACAAGCGTTAACATGCCAAACTTAAACAACTTTTCCCTAAATTGTTTTTTATTAAGAAAATGTGGAAAACCCATTCATTCGCTCCGGACGCCTCTGAAGCAGTTGAGCAAGTGGCGCTATACAAATCGCCGTATTTTTATTATTAGTGTTTTTATTAAGTTTTAAAACTATATTTACTACTAATAAAAAAGAACCTAAGTATGGCATGGGCTATCAAAAAGCATTTGACAATGTTACTCCCTCATGGATATTAGAAGTAATAAGCATGCATAAATTGACAATTAATATTAAAAATTTCATTGAGGATTCCATGCCAATTCGGAGAACCAGATTGCGTCTGTACAGCCACAGAGGTATTCTTTTAATGGATATGGATAAAATGAAATTATTTATGCCAGATAAAGATCAACTGAAAAAAGTTGATAACAGTTCAGTCGAAACATAAAAATGATGCCTGAGATAGATAAATGCGATACTTCGAAAATTAGAAAAGAAGTGGCGATACGAAACGATGGTACAATTTTAGATCAGGATACACAAATGAGAGGTCGTGCTAAGGAAGAGACATACAAATACTTGGGAATGGAAGAGGCAGGAGAAATTCAACAACGAATGATGAAAGATTAGATTAGAGAGAATACAACAAAAAATAAGATTTCTTTTATAGAAACAGTTGAACGCGAAAATAAAAGGATGGAAAATCTTCTGAAACACTACAATAATCACCGACTGAAACATATCAGCCAACGGACCGGATATAGTAACCCATGATAAACAAGAAAAATGTGTCTAATGATAAATGTATCTGTACTTGATGAACTGAATGTTATGTTAAAAGAGTCTGAAAAAATTTGTAAATATAAAGATCTTGAAATTGAAAAAATGTGGCACAGCGCTGACTGAGGTTCAGAAAATTTCATTACTGGGCACAGCAAGCATTCTAAGAAAAGTACTTGCATGAATTTCTTTGGAATCTGGTTGAACCCCGGATTCAGACACGAGGTTAGCAGCGAGGATGTAGCAATGATTTACGTAGTTACTTGGATTAGTGAATAATTTAGAGTTTCAATCACTGTTAGCATTCGAATAAACGTTTAAATAAGTTTGCGTTTGAAGCAGTATCAGAAATCTTGAACCTGTGGAATAACGAGAACTTGACGAAAGTGCAAGCTACAACATTGGCGTCAGTAGTGACGACCGTCGGAATTTTATAACAACAACAACAATAATAATAATAGAACGCAGTGATCAAAAAGATTTTTATGATATTCTTACATTATTTTTTATTTAGCGTTATTATATACATAAATGCACACGTTATATATATATAAATTATAAAAATAATTATTAATCTGTCATAATATAAAACAGTCATCATCTTAACATAACAAAATTAGTTTTATTATATTAATTTAATTCGCCATCATCGTCGTCATCATCATCATCATTATTAATTCTTTCCTAACTATTTATCTGAAACGACATCAGCAAGGCAGGTGTGCACATCTCTGCATTCGAACCCGACGCCACTAGATGTAATAGAAATAATAATAATCACCACTCATAACCACCGTAAGCTACTGCAGCAATATTAAAATGAAGAAATTTAAAAGGGTGACGGCAGAAGTTAAAAATAATCGTGTCGGTACAAATAAATTCATCATCATCACCACCATCACCATCTTCATCATCATCATCATCAAAATAATGATGATGCGGATAAAATCAATAAAAGCCTACAAAAAGATAAAAATGTCAACTGTTAATAAACTAATTACGAGTGGAATAAATTACATATTGTACAATGTGCAAAAGTATGTTCGCATGCATGTTTGTTTGTTTGTACGCATGTAATGTATGCATGCATGTATGTATGCACGTATGTTTGCATGCATGTATGTATGTGTGTGTGTGTACGTTGATACGTATATACATGTACTCACTTATATGCTTTCAAGTCGTATGAATGTTTTGTGTACGCGTTTCAGAAAGTACCTATTTTTTATGCATGCACGCTGCGTATTTATGTACGTACGTATGTATGTATGTTTGTATGTATGTACGTATGTATGTATATACACGTATGTTTTCACCATGATTGTCTCGTTATACTCAGAGTATATGGAAACATCCATGATTCGTATGTTGAGACCGCAAGAGATATAAAAATAGCTTGAGCTTATGGAACTTAATTTTTTTGATGCTGCCTTTGCTGATATTGTTTCTGTTTGTGATTTTGTTGTTGCTGTTGTTGTTGATTTTGCTTGCTTTGCAGTTGTTGTTTTTGTTGATGATGTTGTTGTTGTGGTTGTTGTTGATGATGTTGTTGTTGTTGATGTTGTTGTTGTGGATGTGGTAATAGCGCCGGAACGATCTGTTGAACAAAATTGTAGTTGTTGGTAGCTGTTGTCACATTCAAGCTGTTGATTCTACGTTGCTGATGCTGTTGTTGCTGACTTTGCTGCTGCTGTTGAGGATGTTGTTGCTGCTGTTGAGGATGTTGTTGCTGCTGTTGAGGATGTTGCTGCTGTTGTTGAGGATGTTGTTGCTGCTGTTGATACAAGAAGTTGCTGTTCGATTTCTGTAAAAATGGAACATTCTGCTGCCGTTGTTGTGATTGTTGTGGATGCTGTGATTGTTGATGTAGTTGATGTTGCTGTGATTGTAGTTGATGCAGTTGATGTTGTTGTGGCTGATGTTGTTGTGGCTGATGTTGTTGTGGCTGATGTTGTTGTGGTTGCTGTTGCGGTTGATGTTGCGGTAGTTGTTGCTGTTGATGTTGTGAATGTTGAGATATATTGCTGTAGAGATTGTCTTGATAATTAGCATTGTAGAAAATGAGAGGCCTTTGTAAGGTATTAAACATGGGCAACATTGGTTGTTGTAATATTTGTTGTGGCAATAATTGTTGTTGTTTTAATAAAAATATCGGCTGTTGTTGGGGATGATTTGGTTGTTGTTGCGGGTGTTGTTGTTGTTGGGGACGATTTTGTTGTTGCGGCAGTGGTGGGTGTTGTTGTTGCAGTTGTTTTGAATGTTGTTGTTTTGGATGCTGTATGTCAACGTCAACACTTTGCTTCATTATTTCACCTGAGGCATAAGTGTTTGGTTGTTGTTGTTGTTGTTGTTGTGGAATAACATAATGTTGTTGTTGCTGTTGTTGCATGTTGGCATCAACAACCAAAGGCACACTGGAAAATGGAAGTTTTGTTGGAAGGTTTAAAACCTGAGGTTGTTGTTGATGCTGTTGATGTTGTCGATGATATTGTTGTTGTTGATGTTGTTGTTGATGATAATGTTGCTGTTGTTGAGCAAGCTGATTTTGGTGCATCAATTTGATAAGTTCATGTATGTGGTTATTGTTGTCTTCATTGCCTCTCGCCACCTTGACATTATTGTTGTTGCCGTTGTTGCTGTTATTGTTGATGTTGCAGTCACTGCTGTCGTCGTCGTTGTTGATGTTTTTGTTAGTGCTGATGTCGTTGTTAATGTTATTATCGTTGAAGACGTTAGAACCATCATTAATGTCACCACTGTTCATCTGCTTCTTTATTTTATCGTTATTATTATTTGTATCATCATTATTATTATTATTGTTGTTATTACCATGACTAATACAATTATGATCGTTGTTATTGTTCCTAGTGTTGTGTTGTTTCTGCTTCGGTCGTTGATCATATAAGCCGGCCATATTTTTGTATTTGCTACTAACAAGTACCTTGGCAGTATTATTTTTCCTATTTTTATTGTTATGATTATTATTGCGATCATTTATATTACCATCACTTTTATTATTATCGTTGCGAGATCTCATGTTTTTGTTTTTGGGATTTTG